TGTCCAGCATGTCAAACGCATGTATCGAAATTTTTCTTCGATTAACGTACGCGACGAATCTACCTTTTATACTTAGACCGATCCTTGAGTCCCAATTTTATATATATATATTTAAAATTCCCAAAACCCATTAAACCGATGACTCAAATAGATTCATTATATATGTTGCGAAAAAACTGCCTCCGCCAGGACACGAACCTGGAATCTCCTCACTTTCCGGGCGGAGGCAGTTTTTTCGTAAATATATAATGAATCTATTTGAGTCATCGGTTTAATGGGTTTTGGGAATTTTAAATATATATATATATATATATATATATATATATATATATATAAAATTGGGACTCAAGGATCGGTCTAAGTATGAAAGGTAGATTCGTCGCGTACGTTAATCGAAGAAAAATTTCGATACATGCGTTTGACATGCTGGACATAATTATCCTCCCACTATCATATTAATATTATATAATATTAGTATTTAATAGCACTAAGACATCCGTGCTGTACTCCTTATTTGCCTCTTCAGTTGTTACTGTTTAATTATTGTTAAATTATTTTTCATTTTTTTATTTTTATGTTACCTATGCAATAACTAACGATGACTGTTATAATCACGACACTCGTTTCACTAGTTTACGATTTGCAGTTTCTTTTTATTTTGAAGAGCAATTGTAAACCGATTAAATAAATTGCCGAAAATTTACATCGCCTACCTGGATGAATAACAGCAAATACAACTACCAAGGTGATAATCAGGAAGAGGGAATTTAGTTTCCCCATCTTTAGTCCGGTTTGACCACTGTCAAGTATGCAACTGTCACTGTATCTCGAGAAGTCAGGGTATACTCTGCAACGTTATCACCGATTTTCATCATATAATGCTTGCTGTGATAAACGCTGGATTATCGCGAGCACAGTCTCCATCAATATCACCTTCGCTACGCGATTAAGACGTAAAAAATAAGTTATCAGGGATTCATCGCCCTTGATACTTTGTCACGATTCTTCACCACAAAGAAAGTAGAATGACACACGCATTATTTGTCGATTTAAAAGTTGATTTTTTATATATTTAATCGTAATACAACATATATACTCGACAAATATTTTTTTTTGCAAATTTTAAGATAAGAAAACAAAGATTTCATATGTACTTACTTCGGATCGTTGCTGATTTTACAAACATAATAAAACTTATATCTTTATTATGTTTCTAACAGATCACTTATCGCAATTGCTAATAGCGCCAGACAAATTCGGTACAAACGAGTACTATATTTTTGTAGCAAACATAAATGATACAATTTAATAAATAATTAATTCCTTAAAGATTAAAAATCGTCGTAAGTCGAATTAATATTATCCTAATCGACAATTTATAAGAGCTTTTGATTCCTAACACTAGATGCCTTCAAAATTAAAATCCGATTTAAATCGTTGTAAAATCGCGATTGAGTAGCTACATTAAATATAATGTTGCTCAATCATGAATAAATATTAATTATTAATAATAATTTATTATACTTTCTCCGGACTTATATATTATAACGCTGTAATATTCAATAACTTTGGTTAATTGTAAGAATATTAACTTATCTCATTGTAACAGTTTTGTGCATGTATGGAAAGCATGGAATATTTTAGCAAAAGATATTCTTGTTTACACGTTTAGAGCCTGAAACTATCTCTGCGAGGAATCCTTGGTACTCTAAGCAGCCGTTTTCATGGACGACCAAGCGTGACGTCGCGCCTCTCGGTCAACGCGCGCAGGGAAACATTTCAAGTTCAGCTACGAATTATAGTTAACGTTGCAAGGAGTACACGTTACCGTAACATCTGCATTTTTCACGCATTGAAGCGTGACCGTTAGTTTGGTACAATTCTTATACATCATCACGGGATTGTTATTAAAAGTAACAAAATATCTTGATCGAAAAACTAATACATCAAGATACAATCGCGTAAATCACTAATCCTAAGATACAATACACAACAATATCATCGGACATGCGATTACAATCGCACCATTTCTATGGCTTATTTCAAATTGACGTTATAATCATCACTTCACATAAGCTTTCCATTTTTAACGTTAAATATTTGCAGAATGAAAGTTCGGTTTAAGTTTGTTTAAAATTAATTGAATAGCAATATTTCGTTACTTATCTTACATTTTCCATATGCTTATTTCAAATTGACGTTTCCTAATCATCACTTCATATAAGCTTTCTATTGTTAACGTTAAATATTTGCAGAATGAAAGATTTAAGTTTCTAAAATCGATTGAGAGCAACGTTTCGTTATTTATCATGCATTTTCCAGGCTTATAACAGGCTCCTGAATCTTTCTAGCGTAAAAGATCGGCCATGATACTGGTCGCGGTGATCAGAACGGCGCGACGATTCAATATGTATCTATAGTATTTACTGTGTTGCGAAATAAAACTGCACACATACAGAATTTAAGTCAGGAAAATCGTTTGAGATAAGATATTATCAGGTAAATGATAGCAAGTATTACGTAGAAAGATAGTTTATTTTTTTGTTGTTTATAACGATTTTATCGCGTTTCCGTTCGGGGTTTCCTGACCTCGATTGAAACCTTTATCGACCCATTCGAAACGCCCACCCGTGCAATTTTTCCTAATGAGGTAAGCCGCGGTGTCGTTCGATTTGCGCTGATGATGCTTTTTAGATTCGCAAGGAAGGAATCCCAGTAGAGTGCACGGGCCAACTGTCGCACTCGCCTTGTCGACTGATCATGTGGACTGGCGTTGGATTTGCAATACATGAGAAATGATGAAGAATAAATTATAATAGATATAGTTAAGACTTGTATCTTAGATCTGAAATAATTAACGGATATGATAAGATAATTTACGAATTATGTATTTTAACTTATCTGATCTTTAAGACTTTAACAAGAGTTTGTTTGAGACATAAAATGATCAAATTGCATCGTTTGTACACATTGTTGCAAAACGGTTTGAACACGTGGAGGTTCGTATCTCATCAAACTGTTCAAATTGAGAGTCATTATCAATGGAGTTACGCGGTAATTATTTCATTGAACATTAGTATTGCTAATTACTATAATTTTATTTATTATTTATTATACTATTATCAATTGTATTATTACCACGTAATCTCGTCAGTAATAACTCTCAATTTTAGTAGTTTGCTGAATTCCCAGCTTCATTGTGTCTTAAGCGTTCTGCAACCGATTACAACCACGACCGATATATTACCGATATTGAAATAATTATTTGCTAAACTCTCTAAAGAGATATAAACAAGAAATATTCGTTCTCTGAAGAGATATAAAAGAGAATATTCGCGTTGGTTCCGATGGATGAAACAACAAATAACGAGTGTCTCTTTACATACCATACAATACACTGAGAGAAATTATCTAGTAAAAAATTAACAAATGGTTATTTTCGATGAAGATACCAATACATTTTTATATTCGATCAAGATATCCAATTAAATTTAATTGAATACTTCCGATTACAATGACATTTTATCAGATAAACCGATCAAAAAATTATAAACTGATATTTCTCATCAGATGCTTCGGATTGGATAGAAAAATTTATTGGTATTTTGATCGGAAATATCCGTTTGTTAATTTCTTCTCGAATAATTTCTCTCAGTGTACAATATAGTACGATATTTCGGCTCGCGCGCTCTCTGATTCGCGGATTCGAGCTCCGAAGTGGTGAGACGGTAATTGTTGCGAAGCCACATCCGAACGATACGCGTACCGAACGAAGCACGGTGAAACCGGGGAGCGATTATGTCGTGAAAGGGGAGAACCCTGTACAGAGCGGGTGTTCTCTAGAGCGTGAAGGTATTCGCTTCCCACGCTTAACCATGGAATAACAATGATGCTCGTGAATACTTGCGCATCCTCGCTGCCTCCGGTTGCCCGGCATCAAAACGTATTCCACTTCGTGTTATTTCTTTGAATTCTGCCCAGCTATTTCTGTCAAATCGGCTCTCTTTGATCGAACAGTAGAACGCGGCAAGGCGATTTTTTCTATGCTTCCTCCACCTACACTTCATCGATCTCCTCCATTGCGCGTTATCGATTTTTTCCTCGAGTTGTAAATCATAAACTTTATTTGTGGACGCTGCCGGAATCGATCTCTTCTCAAGAAAGAAATCTATTTGGCTGGACATATAATTATATGTACATCGAGCAAGAAAACGTAAAGAAGAAAATGAAATTTCATCGCGAAATTATTTGCGTAGCCGGACGATTCTCCGACGACAAATCGTAATTGTCCTCCACTGAACAACGATGTTGTGCCTTTTCTTACTTTACTTTATTTTTCTTGCCGGTTTTTCAAAAGGTTTTGCAACAAATATGAAACAATTGATCTCGATGATTGGATATCAGTACGTATCCATATACACATATGCAACATAAAAATGTATATCGATGAGATAAGGATATCTGATCGTTATCAGCGAGTCCGTAGAATTGTAAAATATAGCCCATATGTTGCAACACGACGCAGACTGCCGCTGATACACATTTATGACATCGGTGAGCATGATGCATCAAGAAAATCCTCCACACATTTTTGCAGAACGCGACGTTTCCCCGTATCCCACTAATTACACTTTCCTCGATAGATCAAAGTCGCTTAGATTTATGCAGCGAAAGTACAGCCGGAGCACTTTTAACGTATCGGAGTTCGTTGACTCCGTCTACCTCTTTTGGAGAAAATAATCCTTACACATCGGGAAGAAATTATGACACGATACGTTTGAATATTTATTTATAAAATTTATTTATAAAAGAGTATTTCGATTATGGCAAATTCTTACTGCGGAAAGACACGATCTTTTTTCTAACTTTTAAGATCGAAAATATGCATGGAAGGTATAAGATCGATCTTACAATCTCGCGGTCACCGCTGTATAGTTTGCAAATGAATCTCAGCTGCACTGAGTTACATAGCACTTATCAACGCCTGACAGGTATGCTCGACAGATATATTTGAACGTTACGTCGAAGTGTCGCAATCAAACTTTACCGCGACACTCTCGACTTAATATATCTTCGCGTAATTGAATTGCTTTGTGCTCGCCCAAAGAAAAGAATTACTGATTTCCTGTCCGTCACGACCCACTCTTGTAAACAAAAATAAAGACAAGATAAATTTTCTTATCGATTCGCCGAAGCTGAGTCTTGTACTTGCCCGCTGCGATAGCCAACAGAAGCAGAAGATCTGTCAACGATCATTTGATTGATCTAACACGCGCTCGTCGCATGTATTCGCAAGCAAGCGTTGCAATACCGGGATTTGGTATCGTTGCTCTTTACGGCACGCGAAAATGCACACAAAATGCAAAGAAAAGAAGGAATGGATGCGTAGGTGTACAGATACACTCTAGGAAGCGTGGCTCGGCATAAAGTTGTACACAATGCGGCCAGTTACAAGGAAGAAATGGCAGAATGCAACTCCGGCGAGACGAAAGCGCTGGGATCAAATCGACATTTCGGCGTATCGCGTCTGTCATGTCGATACTCGAGCTCCGCGATTGACCGTGTCAAGCGAAGGTAAAGTTACAATAGCGGTGGGTGTGGAGGAAGGTATTCAGCGGGAAGAGAGAGACAGAGAGAGAGAGAGAGAGAGAGAGAGAGAGAGAGATTTCTTACGATACCACAATCTTCAGCGATGCTGCTGTAATTTTCAATAGGATTCATAAATGTTGGAGTACGAACGAAGTAATAAGGATCACGAGTAACACACAAAGAAGTGCAATAATCAAGGTTTTCCAGACACGCAGCTTTTATTAACACGATTCGCCGAGTCACTCGCGATCAGCGTACAAAGATTACACTTTGCTACGTCGGAACATTGCTATTTCGAATATTTAACA